AACCTAACAACTATAGACAAAACCTCGGAGACCGGAACTTATCTCACCGGACATTCCCCGAAAGGACCGGCACCGACGGGCGTCCCTATGGCTAACCCTGCTGCAACCGGGCCACCGTCGACCACATCCAAAGTCTCTCTCTCTATCCGGGAGGCTATTACGGGAAAGAGAGATGGCGGTTCGGGAATATCGGGCGTACCGCGGCCGACGCCCAAGGAGTTCACCCTCGATGGGGAATACGAGCATGCTTGCGGCTCCATCATCCGCTCGGAGGGAAACAAAGTGAAGGCTCGATTCTCACAGGCCGAAGCTGACACCCTTGCCGGTAAGATAGCTAACACCTTGGTATTTAAGTTCTCTTATGACATCCCTCCCCCTCGAGTTATATCTGCTGGATTAGGTCAGTTGGGGTTTAAGGGTAGGTTTTCATTTAAGTGGTACAATTTCAACCATCTCCTAGTCACCTTCGACCTTCCCGAGGATTATAATGAGACTTGGCTTAAGACCTCTATTTCCGTGTGCCGATGCCCAGCTAGGGTATTCAAGTACACTTCCGGGTTTAACCCGAAGACGGAGACGCCTGTCGTCCCCGTGTGGTGCCGCCTCCCTGGCCTTCCACCACATCTTTACCACCGGGATTCCATCACCACACTGGCAAAGTGTGTCGGAAAACCGGTCCGCATTGATGCCCCGACAGCCCTCCAGTCGAGGGCTGATGTGGCTCGATTTTGTGTTGAGATCGATCTCAGGGCTGAGCCCGTCCATGAGATTGAGATTGAGCAGGGCTCGGAGTCCTTTACTCAGCGGGTGATCTACGAGAAGATCCCCGCTTTCTGTACCTCCTGCAGCCACGTGGGGCACATAGCGGCTGATTGCTACATTAGTGGCAATAAGCCACGCCCCACTCTGCCTCCGCGCCTCCGTGCGACTCATCCGGGACCCTCCAATGGCCGGAGGGAACCGAAGGGAAAGGGCAAAGGCCCTCTCCATGCGCCCGGATCCCCAAAGGGGGTCAAGGATAAGGGCAAGGTTGTGATGATCTCCACTGCCCAAACTGGAAAGGATGTTCATCCTAACCAGCCTAAGCAGTTGGCTTCTGTTGGGCCCAAGGCCAAGACCTCGGGCTTCATTCCCAGGCACACCCTTCAGTTGGCCTTTAAGGCTAATCACTCGTTCTTTGCAGTCCTCTCCCCTGAGGCAGAAGATGAGCCTGAGACCTCTACCAGTGATCCCCATAGGTCCTTAGACCTTCCTTTTTTACACGATGATGACCTCCTAGCTGAGGATCTGGAGCAGCCAGATGCCTCGACCAGTGGTACGTCCATTCACTTAGCTGATGACAGCACTCGAGGTGCTGTTCCTTTGTCTGTCCATTCATCTAGCCAGGACCGCTCCCTGGAGATGAGGATAGCTCCCGCCACCGCTCTCCCGAAAGGGGAAGAGCCGACACATCTTCCCTCTACTGAGCTTGGGAGCTCGGCTGAGCACATAGCTACTCTCCAGCCTCACTCTCTTGGTGAGCACCCGAGTGCTCCGCCTCATGGAGCCTCTCTCCCTCCCATCCAGGAGCAGGCATGCGGTCTTAACCGCGCTCAGCATGACGTCTCGTGCGAGAGTTTCGCCTCTAGCGCATTCGTCCACTTTGACAGACAGGAGACGGCCCCAGAGACGGGGCAGGTCCCTAGTGCCGCTTTGGGTCCGATTGCCCAGCCCGATGACTCGCAGGCTACGAGCACTTACCGAGGGCGTCCCCCCTCGAAGACCAGACCCACACCGCGCCTGACACGACGGACTGTCTCCCCTGCCCTTCGATCCTTTCGCCACCTCCCCCCTCCTTCAGGTGGCTCGACCCAGCATCGCCACAGGCGGACCACGTCTGGTGGCTCTCACGACTGTTGATATGTCTATTACATCTATTACCTGGAATGGCCGGGGCCTGGCTAATAGGGCCAATCTCGCTCATCTCCACTCTCTCATACGTGATCATAGATTGGATTTTGTTGGCTTTTTAGAGCCGATGATTCGCACCCCTGATTTTGACTATTACTCACGCCGCCTTGGTTTCCACTCAGGCGTGGGTAACACCTCGCATAAGATCTGGTTCTTCTATTCGCGTGACTACACCTGTCGGGTCCTTCGGGATACCGACCAGGTGCTTCATGTCGAACTTTCTGCGGCCCACCTCCCCGAGCCCATATTTCACACCTTGGTTTATGCCAAGTGTAATAGGGCTGGGAGATATGATCTCTGGGACACCCTGCGTGAGATTGCTGAGATCATGGAGGGATTGCCATGGATGGTTAGTGGCGATTTCAACATCTTTCTGCACCCCGATGAGCGTGTGGGTGGCCTTTTGGATCGGTCTAGGGAGATGTGGGACTTTGCTCAGGCTGTGGCGGACTGTGAGTTGATTGACGCTGGATGTGAGGGTGAGCCCTTTACGTGGGTTAGGGACGATCTCAAAGAGAGGCTCGACCGTGCTTTGGTTTCTGAGGCGTGGTCGAAGGTGTTTGCGGTCACGACCGTCTCATACCTCACTCGATTTGGGTCTGATCATTCACCCATTCTCATTAGGTGTCGATTCTCGAGCACCCCTCGACGTTCATCTTTTAGGTTCCAGAACATGTGGGTTCGCCACCACTCCTTCCACGACACTGTCAGGGACACATGGCTTCAGCCGACTGGGCTCTTCGGGATGCGCAATCTCGAGGCGAAGCTCGGCAGACTGCGGCGTAGGTTGAGACAGTGGAACTGGGATGTTTTTGGAAACCTCCATCAGCGCCTTTCTGTGGCTCAGAATGCGCATGCGGAGGCTGAGCGGGCTTATGATCTGGACCCCACTCCGGAGAATAGGACTGAGATGCGCCGCTGCCATGCCGAGTACCAGCTCCGACTCCTTATGGAGGAGGATTTCTGGAAGCAGAAGGCGGCCGTTCGCTGGGTGGCCGAGGGCGAGCGGAATACTAGGTTTTTCCAGGGTTTCGTTAGGCAGAAGCACGCTAAGTCGCACATCCACAGTATTGAGGCTGATGGGTCATCCCTGACCCAAGAGTCTCAGATTCGGGAGTCTGCTATTGCCCACTTTCAGACCCTTTTTACCTCCGACAGAGGGGCTCTCGATGCCCCGATCGCTTCCTTTTTTCCCACCATTCCTCCTTCGGTCGACCTCATCGGCCTTTGTGAGCTCCCGAGCAGGGAAGAGGTTAGGGATGCTGTCTTCGGGATTGATCCCAACAGCGTTTCTGGCCCCGATGGGTTCTCTTCTCTCTTCTATCAGGTCTGCTGGGATATTGTCGAGCCCGATGTTGAGGAGGAAATGTTGGATTTCTTCTCTGGTCACCGAATGCCGGATTCTTTCACGTCTACCTCTGTCGTCTTGATTCCCAAAAGACCCAATCCGAGTTCTTGGTCCGACTACAGGCCCATCAGCCTGTGTAACGTGACCAATAAGCTCATTTCGAAGATTCTTAACGGCCGCCTTTTCCCTCTTCTCCCCTCCCTCATCTCTCCGAACCAGAGTGGTTTCGTCAAGGATCGGGTCATTAGTGATAATATACTTTTGGCCCAGGAGATGATCCACGATATCTCCCATGCGGATTGGAAATGGACACCGAACATTGCGCTCAAGCTAGACATGGCTAAGGCGTATGATAGGGTGGAGTGGCCGTTTCTTAGGGAGGCACTGGCTAGGATGGGATTTCCTGAGCGGTGGATCAGTTTTGTTGAGGTGTGTGTGGAGCACTGCACGTTCTCGGTTCTGGTTAATGGTAGCCCCACCGATTTCTTTCCCTCCTCTAGGGGCCTTAGGCAGGGTGACCCCCTTTCCCCATCCCTTTTTGTCCTTGCGGCGGACTACCTCTCTCGCTGCCTTGACGGCTTCATCCGCGACTATCCACGGATGACATACAGCACCCGTGGTTGTGGTCCTCCCATCTCGCACCTTTCTTATGCGGATGACATCATCATCTTCACCCGTGCGGATGTTGATGGGCTGACCGAGCTTATGCATCTTCTGGAGCACTATAGCTTGGTTACCGGTCAGCTGATCAGTGTGCAGAAGAGTACCTTCACCCTCTCCTCCTCTAGCGCGGACAGTTGGGCTCAGTAGATTCATGAGATCACTGGGTTTGCGCGCGGAGATCTTCCCATTTCCTACCTCGGTGCCCCTTTATATAAGGGTCACCTCTCGAGAGCGCTCTTTATGGACATTAGACAGAGGATGATCGATAGGATCTTGGGCTGGTCGCATAGACACCTTTCTTTCGGTGGTCGGCTTGCGCTGATCAAGAGCACTCTTAGCTCTCTTCCGCTTCACTTGCTCATGGTCCTCGACGCCCCTAGGTCTACTCTTGACGAGATTGACCAGATCATGGCTCGTTATTTCTGGGGTTACGAGGACGGTTCCGGGAGGGGGAGACGTACCCACTGGGTGAGTTGGGATTCTATTTGTCGCCTTTCGCTGAGGGAGGCCTTGGCATCCGTCGTCTTAGGGATATAGTTACTGCCTTCTCCTACAAGTTGTGGTGGCGCTTCAGGGAAGAAAAGTCGCTTTGGGCCCAGTACCTTCGCAGCAAGTACTGCCCCAGACGTGCCAACCACCCTTGTTGGGTGACGGCGGTTAGTCATGATAGAAGACAGTGGCGGCACCTCACTAGGGTCGGTAGACGCTCCCAGGATCACATCTTTTGGATTTTGGGTGAGGGTGATGTTAGTTTTTGGGATGAGTGGTGGTTAGGTGATAGACCG